AATACGTCTTAGAGCGAGGATTCCTCAACACGGATGGCCTGAGTAAGGGGGTCATGACCTGGGGGGGCCAAACAACTTGTTCAAAACTTAACACGTTGATATATTATCCCCCCCCAGCAGCCACCACCAGCACCACTGGACTGAGACTGCAGGGACGGGCGAGGTCTCCCCTCAGCAAGGACCCCTGGAGCCCCACAAGCCTTTAGAGGGCTTCCTCTTCCAACCCCTCTTCTCCCTCTTCTGGAAAGGGCTTGCCACTCTTCCCTTTTAATAAACACCCCCTCCCCCAGGCGACCGGCAGCCAACCAGGACAAATGCGGATCCTCCCCCTCGCACAAAATTGTCAACAAACAATGCGAAGCACACTTTGGGGCAAACTCTTGGGTTATACTGGCGGGCCCCGCGAGCACTTTGCATTGTTTTTTGAAAAGGACGGCGGGAAGGCCCTCACATTGTCTGCTTTGCGCACGGCCACCTCCCAGTAAAAAAACAAAACAAAATGCACTTGTCGGCTAAATCTAGATCATACCCGGCCACCCTGCGATCACTGTCCATTGGTTCTTGACGAGGACCGCGGGGTGCTTTCATATTGCCGACTGTCTGCAGGCCGCCCCAAACACCATGATGGCCTCCCCGCTGGGATTGTGCACTGGTTTTCGACAAGGATGGTTGGGGCCGACATGTGTCCCGATGCGTGCTGTCACGTGCGCGGGCGCACCTGGCACACCCTGCGCGTGCCCCAGACGTGGCGCACTTGGCGCGGTCAGACCATGCGGCACACATGGCGCACGTGGCGAATCTGGCGCGCGAGGCGTGCCTGGCAAGCTTGGGGCCCAGGGGTCTACACCCCCTCCCCCACCCTGCCAGCGGCCAGCCCGAAACCATGCCAACCCCATGAGGCCACCCCCTCACCACCCCTGTCAACAAACAATACTAAACGCACTCAGCCGCGGCCGCCCCGCGACCATTTTGTATGTGTATCTTACAGGGACGGCTGGGGTGTCAGCAGATCTCACCTGCCTTCTGGGCGCAAGTGGTCGATCGACTGGTTTGACACATCAGCGGCTGCTGCCTTTTTCGCCTTACCGTTTCCGATGGGTTTTCGAAACCTCCACATGGCTCCAAAGTTGGCCAAGAAAGCTCAAAGCCAGGCCCCAGAGCCCCTATTGGTCCCAGTGGCTGGCGCACCTGGCGGCTGGAGCACGTGAAACACCGGGCGCGCGTGGAGCACGTGCCGCACCTGGCGCGCCTGGCACGCGTGGGCCTCCAGGGCAGGGCCTGGTGCATGTGGAGCCCGTGGCGTCTGCGGCGTTCTTACGCGATATGCTGACTCCCGGATGTTATGTATGTGTTGGGAGGGCGGGTGGGAGTGAGCACGACGGCTTGCGGGCGGGTGGGAAGCTTGAACCCTCCCCCTACCCCGTCCCCTGGACCTGGACGGGGGGAGTCGCGACCGCTTGGGGCGTCCAAGAAGGCCTCGGCCAGAAGGCAAAAATCATTGATTATACGTAGCACCCCGCAGTTGCAGATAAGAGTGAGGGGGCGGGGGCGGGGTGGGTCGCGGGTGGGTCGCGGCGGCGAATCGCGGGTGGGTTGCGGGGTGAATCGCGATTGGGTCGCGGGGTGGGTTGCGGGTGGGTCGCGGGTGGGTCGCGGGTGGGACGCGCGTGGATCGCTGGTGGGTCGCGGGTGGGTCGCGGGTGGGTCGCGGGCGGGTCGCGGGCGGGTCGCGCGGTGGGTCGCGGGCGGGTCGCGGTCGCGGGTGGGGGCGGGTTATTCGCGGGGTGGGTCGCGGATGGGTCGCGGGTGGGTCGTGGGTTGGTCGCGGGTGGGTCGCGGGTAGGGTCGCGGGCGGGACGACGACAACAAACAACAGCAAACAACAGCAAACAACAGCAAACAACAGTAACACCAGCACCAGCACCAGCACCAGCACCAGCACCACCAACAACAACAATCCGCACCGCGGAAGCCCACTTCAACAACGCACCCAGTGACAGTGAATGACCGTTCGGTCCCCTCACTCTGGCAGAGACGCTGGCCGCAGGTTGGCCTCCTGGGGGGCGACGCTAACGTAGTATCCCCAACCTTCTTTGATCGATCTCCTCCAGGATGGCTCCAAGGTGGCCCCCAAGGCTCTCAAAAAGGGGCGCCCAAGACGCCCCAAGAGGACCCCAAGAGGCCTCAAAAGGCTCCCAAGAAATCACAGAGAGGTTCCCCCAACCGCCAGGAGGACCCCCACGACGCCCCAAGAGGACCCCGAGACCAAGAGGTATCCGAAGGGACCCCGAGATGCATACAAGAGGCATCTGGCCTTTCTATTCGCCTTATTCCTCCTCCTCTTCTTCCTCATCTGCCTATTCCTCCTTGTCCCTCCTCCGCCCTCCTCCTCCCCCCCTCCTCCTCCTCCTCCTCCTCCTCCTCCTCCTCCACCTCCACCTCCTCATCCTCCTCCGATCTTTCCTCCATCATTCCCCTCTTGGGGTACGACGGCTTCCCAGGCCCTTATTCCACTGCATTCGCGTCCACTGATCAGGGCAACTCGCCTGGGCATCGTTTCTAGATGGGCTGGTGGGGGTGCGCGAAGCGCCTCGCAGAAGGGTTCACCACACATGTTTCCTTTCGTAAGAGCTCCTTAGTAAGGACGGCCGTAGTAAGGGATGCATCTCATGGGTATTGTTGTGTAAGGCCTCCTGTAATAAAGGTCATCGGAAAGTACCCCTGTAGTAAGGACGCCTTGCGACTACTCCCTGCCTTAAGGATTTCGTAACAAGGATGCGGGCACCTGAGTCATGATACCTTTAGTGAGGGATCCAAATTGAGGATGCTGTCAGTGAGGCATTATTAATGGGGATGCCTGTAAAAATGATTCCCCCCTTTGAAGGACCCCTGTAGGAAGGACTCCTTACTAATACTTCCCCTAGCACGGATTCCTTATATACACACATCTATATGTGTATGTATGTATGTATGTATGCATGTATATACTCACCACATCAGATGCACCACCTAGACTGAAACCATATTATATTGCACCGCATGAGCTGCAAGACGCTTAGATTCTCCCTTCGGGAAGAGACTCTACCCCCCCCCCCGCGTTATCCGTTCCCCTTCCGGGTATGTACATCATATATGATCCTGACCACATGTCCATCCTAAATATGAATGTACAGCATCCTCGGGGAACCGGTATCGCTCCCCCTGAGGTTCCCTTGTAAGTAAAAACAATACGCGGGGACATCTTTTGTTCGAACATGATACTTTTCCACGAATCCCTTCCAGCAAATGGGACGAAGTGCACACGCGCGCGTCGTCGCGCGCGCATGCCGAAAAGCTCCAACAACCTGCGGTGTCGGAAGGATTTCGCAATCGAGTTTCCCAAACAAACATACAAAAACACATGGTTTCGCAAGACTGATTGGCTAAAGAAGCTTACGCGGGAGCTCTTGCGAAATCTCAAGACAAGCATAGGTTCTTCAAGATTTTCACAACATGCTACCAAACGGGCTTCGCGCGCGCATGTCGAAATCTGTCGAACGCCCTTGCGCGTGTGCCGTTGCGAGAATCCTCGGCAAAAAACGGGACGAAGTGCAGACGCGCGCGTCGTCGCGCGCGTATGCAGAAATCCTTCACAACCCATCGGTTTTGGAAGGATTTCAAAATCATATGTCCAAACAACCCACAAAACCACAAGATTTCGCAACACGGATTTTCAACAAAAGCGTGCGCGCGCGCTCTTGCGTCGTCGTCGTCGTCGTCGTCGTCGCCGTCCTCCCTTCTCCCGCGTCGTCGTCGTCGTCGTCGCCTACGTCGTCCTCTGTCTTTCCTCGTGTTCGTCGTCGTCGTCCTCTTTGGCGTCGTGGTCGTTTCCGTCGTCGTTGTCGCCGTGGTCGTCCTTCCTCCTCCTCCCTCGTCGTCGTCGTCGTCCGTCGTCGGCGTCTCGTCGTCGTCCCTCCTATTTCGTCGCCGTCGTCGCGTCGTCGTTGTTGTTGTCGTCGTCGTCTTCCCTCCTCCCTCGTCCTTGTCGTCGTCGGCGTCGCCGTCCTTCCTCCTTCTTCGTCGTTCGCGTCGTCGCCGTCCTCCCTCCTCCCTCGTCGTTGTCGTCGTTGTCGTCGTTGTCGTCGTTGTCGCCGTCGTCGTCCTCCCTTCTCCCTCGTCGTCGTCTTCGTTGGCGATGTCGTCGTCGTCTTCGTCGTCGTCGGCGTCGTCGAGGTCTTCGTCGTCGACGTCGGCGTTGTCGTCGTCGCCGCCGTCGTCGTCGTCTTCGTCGTCGTCGGCGTTGTTGACGTCGTCGTCGTCGTCGTCGGTGTCGTCGTTGTCGTCGTCGTCGGCGTCGTCATCGTCGTTGTCGGCGTCGGCGTCGTCGTCGTCGGTGTCGTCGTCGTTGTCGTCGTCGTCGTTGTCGTCGTCGAAGTCGTCTGAGACGTCGTCGGTGTCCGTAGTCGTTGTCGTCGGTGTCGTCGTAGTCGGTCTTAAGAGGTTTTGCAAACCAAATTGTGGATCGGTGGGTGGGATGTTTGCAAGAGCATGGGATGTGTCGAATCATGGGTAAAAATCACTTGCACCCCGTACGTTGCACCACGCAAATGGCGAAAGAAGGATACCCGTACCGCTACTCCCCGGACCTCTCCTGGGGTGCGTTCTGAATCAAATATGAAAGCTAATCCTGTGGTGACGACGAGGGCCTCACAGGAGGCCCAAAAAGGCGAAAACGAGGGAACGATAGAGGTATCGGTATCCGTGCACATCGAGAGTGCAAGAACCGACAAATTGTATCCCACGCTGGCAAATATTGTTGCGCAGTTGCAAACCAAGCAGGCAGCAACACGACAGAACGTGATAATCGAATTCAGGTGCAACTCAAATGTAGGAATGCCATCCTCGAACTCTTTGAATCACTCGTCTCCTCCGCTGAACGTGAATGCTGCCTGGCTTCGTCCCACCATTCTTGCAACTTGCACGCGCATTCGGAACCACCTGAGACAACTAACCCCGCCAGCCTGGGTAAAAAAGCCCGAACAGTAGCATGTTACGCAGAAAGCTGCCGCGCCACTCAGGCAGGTGAAGGCTGAAGCAACCTCCCGCCCGTCCGCATTTTAAGGTGCGCTACTCGTCCCAGCCTTCTCTGCTGCCCTCTCGTTCTATGCTTCGAGGCATCAATCGTGACAAGGTCAACAACTTTCTGAGTTTGCACGAGTGTTGCGGCGGCCATTGCCGGGATACCTGCGCAGTCACAACGCCCTAACCATCACCGTGGCAGAGACTGCTGCTACGTGGAATGCTGACAATGGTGCTGTCTGCTACTTATGACATCAATGCTCTCTTTCTCTCTCTCTCTCCCTCTTTCTTTGTGCTCTGTATACTGGTCTCTCTCTCTCTCTCTTTCTCGCCTTCCTCTCTCCCCATCACGCTTCGCTGCGATGATAATGATCTGATACCTTTTGTGTTGCAATTACTTCGGCTTCCGAGACACGAATGACCGCTCCCCTGGGCAAGACGTCCATTCGACAATGTTCGTTTGGGGCACAGGTCTGAAGTGTCGCGCCTCCCGAAAAGAAACGTCTTACTTCGCTCCGCAGCGGGTGGGACCTGTCCAAGAACTCCGCTGTGGGCCCGACGGACCACGGCGATCGCAGCAAATTTCGCTCGAAAGCGCCTCTTGGGGAGCCCCTGTGCTGAAAAATCTTTACGAGGAGGTCACAAGGTCTGCTGAGATGGCCAAGGACCTTCAAAGACCTCTGGACATGCCCCCGAGAGGGCTCCAGCTGTCCCTCGGGGGCGCCCCGGCAGGCCCTGGAAAGAACACAAACGCAATCATACTATATCGTGAGCCATGGAATATCAACGCACCTCTCCAAGTACATTTCCGTAACTTCCTCGCCCACGATGGCTTCCACAATACCGTGGGACAGACGTGGGGCCGCCCCAAGCCGTCTCCAGGTAGTCTGAGGCCCTTCGGACGGCCTCGAAAGAGCGCGACCTCGGCAGCCCAAGAGTGCCCCAGGACGGCCCCAGGACCTCCCCAAACAGCGGCGAGACCCCCTAATACGGACCCCAGACTAAAGTTTTTAAAGGCCTCCCAACTGGGGTCCGAGTAGATAGGGGTCGGAGGACCGCGCCGCATCGCCGATGCATCTTCGGTGGCAACTCACTGGAGCCTCCCAAACTATCTTGTCGGCTCTTGCGAATCGACGCTAGTCGACGCTAAACCGACGCTCATCGACACTACATCGACGCTCATCGACACCAACCGACGCTAAATCGGCGCTATCTCATCGACTCCAGACGCTGATTTACGCTGATCGACGCTAGAGACGGAATGAAGAGGGTATACCCAGCTCCCGTGATTTGCCACCGAATGCATCGGCGATGCATGGGCGGCGTTGGCGACGCATCGGCGCCGTCGGCGTGGAGAAAATCGGGCTCCACATCGAGCCGCATCACCGATGCATCGGCGATGCAGCGCGGTCCTCCAGCCCCGTGAACACTTGCCGCTCCCGAGGCTGTACAATGTGCCCACCGCCAGCGCTCTCCCACGCGGCCTCGGGCACGCGGGCGCACCCGGGAGGGAGGCCGGGTGCCCGACCCGCCATCGCCGCACACCCGCGGCGACGCACGACCGCCGATCCTGGCCCAGCTTCAGGAGAGCGGGGCGCGACGCGGGGAAGGGTGGCAGCGGAGGGGCGCCCAGAAGACATGCGCGCGGTGCCGCCCACGCTCAGCACAAGGCGCCGCGCCGCCGCCCGCGCAGCGACGCGATGGGCCGGTGGCGGCCCTCGGCGGAGCTGGCTGCCACGACGCCTCCGGGCCGCTGCGGGGACCCCCAGCGGACGCATCTGCTCTTCGATTGGGTCGGCCATGTCCCCCTACAGACGGAGTTTGGACGAAAACTCAAACATAGTAAAACACATACTCAACAAAAATGCTCAGAAATGCTAGAAAAATCGTCCCCAGACTATTTTTGCCTGCTTTTAAATATTCCCCCTGTAGAGTTAAGCCCGGCCTGTCTCTCTACAGGAGGAATCTTAAAAAATAGTCAAAATAGTTAGGGGACGATGTTTTGAGTATTCTTGGAGCTATTCTTAAATTTTCGCCCAAATCTCCCTGCAAGGGGACAGGCCCGACCTATCCGTCGAGGCACAAGCCCGGCTCAACTCTTCGACGGGGCCGCGCCCGCTGCGCGTGCGGCCGCGCAGCCGCGACCGGACGCGACGCCCCGCCGCGCTGCCGCGGGGCCTGCGGCGGCAGTGCAAGCGAGGGCTCCGGCACGACTTGGCGGCCCCGGGGCGTGTGGTCGTCGCCCCTGCCCTGCGGGCCCCGCGCCGTGGGCGGCCTCGGCTCTGGCGGTCGCCCCGAAGGGTTGTGGGGCGCACAGAGACATACCAATATGACATGCCCTCCTCAGAGGCGCGCGTCCGACCCGAACATGCAGTATACCCGTCTTGTGGTATATCGTTTCCCGAGCGGTGTGGTCAGAAGACGCCCGCCACGACGCATATACTATAGGATTTCTCGGTGCGCGCGTCGCCCCTGGGGGGACGACGCACACATACTAGAAGTATGTCGGGGTGTCGCCAACGTTAGGTCGGGCTTGTCCTCCTACAGGCGGCTATTGGACGAAAGATCAAGAATACCCCAAACAAAAACTCAAAAGTAGCCAAACATAGTCGAAACATCGTCCCCGAACAATTGTTCTTTTGTATTTTTAAAGGGGCCCTGGGACACACAAATAAATATACACAAAGAACAGGGATCCCAATATTTTTCCTATATTTTCTGGGTTCTTGTCTTCCCCCCCACTTCCCATATTTTCCCATATTTTCTGGGGGATCGACGATTAATTGTGTCTGTGTGTATTTTTCCCTCCTGAATATTGGCATATGCCTCCTGCAGAGGCCCGGCTTCATTCGAACGCCGTGGTGCCGCCGCAGACGAGGGGCCTCGCGCCGTCGGGGGGCGCCGAACACCGCGCGCGCTGCCGAGCCCGCCGCCTTGCGACAGCGCGGCCAGAAGCGGAGAGATCGAGGGTCGGTCAGCATGTGAGCGTTTTCTTATTCGCGGGCGTTGCTAAAAGTGCCCCCGGCCCAAGGTCTCTCCAGGATTTCCAACCCCCACGGCCTCGAGAACACCCCTCGCGAGGCTCAGGGGGCCCCAGAGGCGTCAAAGCTGAGCGAAAAGCTGGGGGCACCTTGGGCCAGGGGCACCTTTAGCACCCCCCGATATTCGGCGTTTCGACATTGGGCGGAGGGGGGGGAAGGGTGGGGGGGTTTGGCTCCGGACTCCTGCTTAGCGGGCGCGACTGTCTTCAGCAGTGCGTCCTGCATGGGCGGCTCCGCCTGCTCGAAACAGGCGCCAAAGGCAGCCAAGATCTACTCCATGGGGGGGGGGGGGACGGTGCAAGGTTTTCCCTAGGGCCGTAGGCGACCCGAGGAGGAGGAGGAGGGGGATGGGGAGGAGGAGGAGGTGGAAGAGGTGGAGGAGGAGGAGGGGGAGAAGGAGGAGGCGGAGGAGGAGGAGGAGGAAAAGGAGGAGGAGGGTGAGGAGGAGGAGGAGGAGGAGGAGGTGGAGGAGGTGGAGGAGGAGGAGGAGGAGGAGGAGAAGGAGGAGGCGGAGGAGGAGGCCATTTTGGGTCATTTTTATGTTCGGCCCCCTGGCGCCCTGCCGGCAGGCTAAACCAGGTGCCGTCTGCGCGGCTGTCAGGCCGCGCCGCCGTCGCCGAAGGGCGACTCCCTGCCCGCCGCCACGCGCGCCCGCGCCCAGCGAGCCGCGGCGGCGGGCGAGGCGAAGCCGTGGAGCTCGGCCGCCTGCCAGGCGTCCGCCGCGACGGGCCTCAGCCCCCAGCGCGGCGGCCGCCCTGCGCCAGCGGGAACGCCTGCGCCGTCCTCTTCGCCTGCGCCGTCGCGGAGCACCGCCGCGAGCCGCGTCTGCTCCTCCTACGTGGGCGGCTGCGGAGCCGAGAGCCTGGCCTTGCTCTTGGGCTCCTGGAGGCGCATCAGGAGCCGCCGCGCCTCCGCCGCCCTCTCACCAGGGGCTGGCCGCCCCTTGCAGCTAGCTGCCCAGCAAGCCTGTCCCAGCGGGAGGGGACCGCTTCCAGAAGCGGCAACCGCACTTCATGCGCCAGGCCACAGCCCCATCACCGTTCTCGAGGCGCGAGACGACGATGCAGTGCCCGCGCGCCTCCCGCGCCACTCCAGCTCCTGCTATCGCGGCCTTCAGCTCGGGAGCGGCCACAGCCGCCTCCGCCAGCTCGGCAGCCGCGGCCCCAGCGGCAGCGGCGGGCGCCTGGCCGTGCTCTACTCCAGCAGCAGCCCCAGCAGCGGCGCCAGGTGCCTGGCCGAGCTCGAGGTCGGCCTCGAGCGCCAGCGCCGCCACCTCCGCGTCGGCCTGCTCCGCCGCGTCCAGCGCCTCCTGCGGGATGTCGTAGACGAGGTCGGCCGTGCCCACGACCCCGTCCGAGTCCAGCTGCTCGCGGTCCACCACGGTGGCGGCCAGCTCGCCAACCCAGCGCCCGAGCTCCTCCACGCGCCAGGCACACGCCTGGAGGAACCAGACCAGCTCCTCGTCGATCGGCCACAGAGCAGCGCCTCGCTTGGCCCACAGGTCAGCTGCCCTGTTACCCCTGATCAGGAGCTCGTCCTCCCAGGTGGCAGCTGCAGAGAGCACCTTGTGCGCCTTGACCTTCCGCGCCGTGGCCGTCGGGCCTGGCCCTGCCCACCACTCCTGCCACAGGTGGCGGCGCGCCTGTAGTGGCGCGAGGGCCTTGCCCTGCGAGAGCGCCAGGCCGACCGTGCCCGCGCAGTCGCAGAAGACCTCGAGGCCCGAGCCGTCGGCCGACGGCAGCCAGAACTGGGCCAGCATGTGGAACGCGTAGTCCTCGCCGTCCCTGGCCTCCTGCTTGGGCCCGTACGCCCGCGGGACGATGCCGTGCATCCCGCCGATGACCTCCCCGCTGAGGCCGATCTGCACCACCGCCCAGCCTGCGCGGCGGGCCCCGCGCAGCGCAGGAAACCTGGCGCTGCCGTCCACGAAGACCCTGCCCGCGAACTTCGAGCCAGGCGGCACGCCAAACCAGCGCGGGGCCGCGAGCGTGGCGTCGGCCGTCGCGGGGAAGGCCAGGGCAAGGTCGGGGCACAGCGCACGCGCGAAGAGCTCCGCCGCAGCGCCCCCGCGCTGCGCCACCAGCCGCGCCCCCTCCAGCAGCTCATGCGAGCACGCGTCCCGCCGCAGCATCTGCCAGGCCTCGCACTCGAAGGCCCTGTGCCACAGCGTGCCACGGCCTCCGCAGAGGCGGCATAGGCCGTCGCGCGCCCTGCCCTCCTTCCAGAGGCGCTCCTGCGGCCAGTGGGAGCCGCCGAGGACCGCTGCGAGCGCTCGCCTGTGGCGGGCCTGCCAGTGCGGCAGCGGCGGCAGCGGCGGCGCGGGCTCCTGGCGGCCTGCGCCCTCAGCGGCCTCGGCGTCGGCCTGCCCATCGGGGCGGCGGCGCGCGTGGAGGCGGCGCTCCAGCCCCTTCCAGTGCACAGGCCATGCCCAGGCGCCAGGCCCGCGCAGCCGCTTCAGCGCAAGCACGTCCGAGGCCGGCGTCGCCGACTCACGCGCCACCTGCACCGGCATGCCAGGCGAGTAGAACTCCAGCGAGAGGACACGCGCCTGCCAGTCAACGACGGCATTGTAGGCCATCATCTCGATGCCGACCCCCCGCAACGCCAGCACACATGCCTGCGCAGGGCGCAGGGTCGCGGCGCCGCCCCCAGGGGCGGCGAAGGTCGAGCAAGCCTTGCGCCCCAAGCCAGCACTCCTGCACCACCGCGGCGCTGGGCAGGCCCGTCTCCAACGTCATGCCCCAGGAGCGCGCCACCTCCACCGCATGCACCACGAAGGGGTCGCGGTAGGCAGCGCCGTGCATCGCCCGCAGCCGCAGGCCGACGCTGGCGCCCATGGGCAGCCTGCCTTCCGCACGCATGGCAGCGAGCCGCAGGCCATGCAGCTTCCCACAGGCGAGGCCTGTCACCGCGGAGCCCCAGACGGCGGTGGCCGTGGGGCTGCCTCTCTGGGTGTGGCCCACCTGCGCACCTGCGCTGCGCAGCAGGCGCGCCCGCGCGCTGACCTCCGCCGCGCGGCCGAGCCGAGCGCCCTGCTCGCGCACGCGCCTCCAGCGCCCATCGGCGGCGTCGCCACCGAGGCATCGGGCGCCAGTCCAGCGGGCCAGCGGCCCATGCGCCCAGCAGCCGTCCAGCTCGCCACCGAGGTCCTCGCCGTTCGCCAGGTAGCCCGTCTTCGCCTCCGAGATGACCAGCCCCTTGGCGGCCAGGCCCTCCGTGAGGGCCGCCATGGCCCTGGGGGGCTGCGGCACCACCTGCGCCCTGCCGCCGACCGCCTGCAGCAGCGCGTCGTCGACGACGTTCTGCAGGCGCACCACAGGGCTCTCACGCACGATCTCCACGAAGAGGGTGTGCACCAGCAGCTTGGCCAGCCCGGCCGCACCGCTGCAGCCCGCCACAATGGTGCCGTTCGCCTCGAACGGCTTGGAGACCGAGCCGCACCAGGACACGCGGCGCTGCGTGCGGTACGACACGCAGTAGCACTGCAGCAGCGCGAGCGGGAACTCCGCGGCAGCCGCCTGCACGCGCAGCTCCTCATGGCTGACGTGCTCGTAGAACTTCCGCCAGGTCGGTGACGCCCGTGGCCGCCGAGGGGCCTCTGCTGCGAGCAAAGGCCGCCAGGAGGTTGTGCACCGCCCCCGCGCGCTCGCACGGGCTCTCCGACGTGCCCCAGAAGGCAGGGTTCTTCAGCGAGGCATCCCAGCGGGCCACCAGCGGCTGCCGCATCCTGCTCCAGACCCTCAGCCAGATGGCCGTGAGGCCGATCGGCCGCTGGCCGCCAGTAGCCTTGGGGATGAACACCACGATCAGCTGCCACAGCGCCTCCCGCGAAGGCTTCCGCTCCCAGGCCATGAGCTGCCTGTAGGTCCGCGGGAGGCGCAGCAGCTGCTTCGGGTGGAGCCTATCCCACCCAAGGCCGCACCCCTCGCGGTAGGTGCCCAGGGCCCGCTCGAGGCCCTCGAGCTCCAGTGGCGGCAGCACCGACCCCTGGATGTCCCAGTTCCCAGGCGCCGCCTCGCCAGCACGCGACGGCTTGACCCAGAGCGGCTGCCGCGCCTCCAGCAACGCAGCCACTGCAGCCTCGCCCGCAACGGGCATGCGCAGGTCGTCGTCGCCGTCCACGCCCGCGAGCACCTCCGTGGGCACCACCGCGACCTGCTTGATGAAGCGGTAGGCCGCCGAGCCGCCCTTCTCGGTGGCCGCGGCCTGGGCCCAGGCGCGCCGCTCCGCGGCCTTCCGCTGCTTGTCCAGCCTCCAGCGCCGCCTTGCCTCCTCCTGGACGAACTGCACCGTCAGCTGGCACGGTGAGGAGCTGAGCAGGCCCACCACGCGGGCCACCGACAGCCCAGCCAACGGGCCTTCCTCTGGCCACTCGAGCTCGAACGCCATCAGCACCTCGCGCTGATTGCGCAGCGGCGCCCAGCAGCGACCTCATGGCGCCGCCTCCTGCAGCGCGCGCCAGCGGGCGCACGCCGCCGCGAACGACATCCAGCGCCTGCAGGCAGCGCCAACGCTCCTCTTGCAGTCCTGCTTCCAGGCCACCTCCATCTCGACCCTCTGCGTGCGTAGCCCACCCGCGCGCCCTTTCCAGCGGCTGGGCGGCGCGACCTCGTGGAGGTCGATCAGGTAGGCCTCCACCGCCTCGAACCACTCCTGGCAGCCCTCCTTGAGCGACTGCCCACCTCCAGGGCTCCAGGCCGAGCAGGCACGCTCGAGCGGCGCTGGCCGCACTGGCGGCGGCAGCGGCAGCGGGAAGGCGGCAAGGAAGAGCGGCCGCTGCACCTTCGCCGCTGGCCCTACGCCGCGGAGCACCACCTTGAACGGCACGTGGTCCTTCGTCGGCGCCCTCAGCAGCACCTCAGCCACGTCCACAAAGCCCGTGAGGACCCTGCTGACGACCGCGAAGTCGAAGACCTTCGGGCCGCAGGCCGGCTCCTCTGGGCCCACGAGCGCACCGCCTGCGCTGCGCGCCCACTCACGGACGTCCACGGGCTCCATGTTCCAGTCACCTATCACGACCCACGGCGACTCCAGCTGCCTCACGTACTCGTGCAGCGCCGCCAGGAGCCCGATGTTCTCCTTCGCCCTGCCAATCTTCGTGATGAAGTAGGCCGAGATGACGCGGCTCGGCTCCCTGAACCCCAGGTTCACCTCGCACACCTGGAACCGATGGGCAAGGAGCCCTGGCGCGGCGGCGGCCGCCGACGGCCGCAGCGTGGCCGCGGCCACTCCTCCCGAGCTCTCCAGCGGCCCTGGGCCCGTCGGCAGCGCTGCCTGGCCATGCCAGCTGAAGCCGCGCGCCTGCATCCAGCCCGCAGCGCGGGCCATCGCCTGCTTGCCCTTGAGGCGATGCTCTTGGAGGCAGAGCACCGCAGGCAGCCGCCCCTCGTCGTCGTGCAGCCACTCGACCAGCGACTGCGCCGAGCCCCACGCGGTGGTGTTGGCCGATACCAGCTCCACCACGTCCGCCGCCCGCGGGCGGCTACCCAGGGGCGGGTCCTGCCACCCGCTGGCGCTTGGCCAGCGCTGCGCGCCAGGCTGCGCGCTGCTGCTCGTCCTCCATGCCCACCTCGTCGAACACGGCGTCGAGCCCGACGAGCTCGGGGCCGGGGTCGAGGTCGCCGACGCGCTTGCGGTCCCCAGGAGGACCATCAGCGCCATCATCGCTGCCATCAGCCGCGGGGGCGGCCTCCTGCGCCGCGGCGACCCGCTCAGCTGCCGCTGCAGCCGCGCGGGCCCGCTCGGCCGCCGCTGCCTCACGAGCACGGGCGTCGGCGGCGGCGAGTTTCTCCACGAGGCTGCGGGCCTCGGCGGCCATCGCGAGCAGGGCGCCGCCCTCCTCCCCGAGCAAGAGAACCCGCTCCCGCTCTGCCTCGAGGCCCTCGAGGCCCTTGAGCGGCACCTTGCCCAGGCAGTCCTCGGCCTCCACAGGCTCGCCCACCTCCATGGGCGACGGCCCCTTGTGCTGCTCCAGGTCAGCGCGCTTCCTGGCGCGCACGGCCTCGGCCACCTCCTCCAGCTGGTCGCGCCGCTTCTGGAGGACGTCCGCCTGCTCCGCCACGCGGACCGCGACGGCCGCCTGCTCCTCCTGGACGGCCACCAGCGCAGCCTCAGCACGGCTGACCTGGCCCTTGATCTTCGCCTCCCTGGCCAGGAGGGCCTGGAGCGACAGCTCGGCTAAGGGCTTCGCTGGCGGCGGCGCGTCCACCACAGGCACCAAGGCCCCGAAGTCCTGGACCAGGGCCGCCGACCAGCCTTCCCTGGGGCCAAAGTGGCGGAGGAGGGCCTGGCGAACCTCCTCGTCCTTGCCGCCGCTGCCGCTGGGCCGCTCCTCCGCCACCCGCTTGGCCGCGCCCTGCGCCCACGGCGCCGGCGTGGCCGCGGCGGCGGCAGGCCCTGGCACGTCCGAGGCGAAGCGCACGCGCTTCGCCACGACCTTCTCCTTCCCTTTGGCCTTGGCCTTCGCCTTGGCCTTGTTGATGGCCTCGCCGATCGTGCCAGCGCCGCGCGGCGGCCGCGCCGCCTTGCAGAGCCTGCACTCCGTGCGCCAGGCCATGTTGGCGTAGCCAGCAGCACACGAGCGGCACGTCCAGGGGTCGCCACCCTGGCCCGCACCGCGCGTGCCACCTGCATCTCCATTCGCCATCGGCCCGCGGGGGCACGCCGCTCTGAAGATTGCACCCGCAAGAGCGAGCACCTGGCTCGCCCCAGAACGGCTAGGCGGAGGAGGAGGATGAGGAGGAGGAGGAGGAGGAGGAGGAGGAGGAGGAGGAGGAGGAGGAGGAGGAGGACGGTGCGCGCCCCGAGGCGCCCGAGGCGGCCAGAGCGAGTCGGTGCCCGGCGCGCCCGCGCGCTCGAGCCACGATGGCCGGCGCCCGTCGCCCATCCCACCAGGCTGCCCGCAGCATGCCCCAAGCGTGAGTTCGGCCAAGCATGCGCAAACATAATCAAACATGTTTTGACTATCTTTTGAAGCTTCCTCCTGTAGAGGGACGGGCCCGACTGAACCCAAGCGCCCCAAGCCTCCCGGAGGCCTGCTGCAGGAGCAGGAGGGCGGGGGTGGAGCGGAGTGGAGTGGAGTAGAGAGCCCGTTGAGGAATGCGAGTGCGGGGCAATGACCACGGACAGAGCGCCTGCAGAAGGGCTCTCGACCGCCTCGCCTTGATTTCGGCTTGGCCGAGGACTTTCGGCTGATAGCCAGCCCCAATCCGATCAAGATATTCCTTACGCACCTCGGAAAGCCCCGAGGCCCCAGGACAAGGGAGGGGAGGAGGGAGGGAAATGCAAGGACAGCCCCCCCCCCCCCCTCCCCGACAGCCTTCAGAAAAGCGCGCCAGGTCCTGCGGCGTTCAGCGTGGCCCTTGGGACTCGTCATGAACGTCTGCGCGGCCCAGCTGAGGGGCTGGCCGAACGCCACGCCGGTGACAAAGAACACCGAGACCAAGATCTGGTGCGCCGCAGCCGGAGCTGTACCTAAGGAGCTGGCGTAGACCGTCATCAACGCGAAGAGGGCTATCTTCATCAGGAGTATGCAGAAGATGGGGCCGGCAAACGTGAGGAAGGGCCCGAAGTCCCTCAGCGTCGGAGCTTCGAAAGGCCGCGGCCAGACTCTACGAGTCCAGAGGCGTCGGACAATGAAAACTGTGCTCACCGAGGTTGCCGCAACGGTGGCCACGGCAGCGCCACCAACTCCATAGCGAGGGCAAAGAACGAAATCGCCGCCCGCGTTGAAGACCGCCGCGATCAGCGTGGCCAGCATTGGCGTCACGCCGTCCTTCCTCGCGAGGAAAAACTGGGTGGAGACGGACCCCAAGCGGTCAACGGAGGCGCCCACCGCCCGTATCTGCAGGTACAGGGCCGACAGCGGCAGCATGCCGCCAGCCGCACCGAGGAGGCGCACGACCCGGGAAGCGGCGACGAACAGCAGCAGGCCCTGCAGGGCACCCAGCACCACGGTGAACGCCAGGGCGTGCGACCGTATCTTGTTGTGGTCGCTCGCGGGCCCAGAGCCCAGCATCGACAGCGTGGCGGTGTTCAGGAACGTCAGCACGTAGGAGCTGCAGTCGATCGCGGCGCTGGCAGGGCCCAGGGCCGCCAGCTGGAGCGACGAGACTCGCCCGACGAAAGCCTTGTCCAGTGCCTCAGGGTTAGGCCGGGCATGTCCCCCTACAGGCCGATTTAGGACAAAAAATGAAAAAATGTCAAAACAGACTCCAACACATAAACAAAACAATGGCAAAACAAAATCTTCCCCAGACTACTTTTTTACTGTTTTGACGGTTCCCCCTGTAGAGGGACAGGCCCGCCTTAACCTTAGGGGAGAGAGCCGCTCCTTTCCTCAGCTACTCGCAAGCGTGACCCAGGGTAAGAGTGACCTTTGGTGCGCGGCTTTTTGGGGGCCGCGGGGCGACCAAACACAAGCGCGCAAGACGCTACTCTCGCATCGCGTTCGACGGTCGGGGAACCCCGGTGGGCCCGCACCGAAGGCCACTCTGGCGAAGGGCCACTCTTACGTGTAGTCGACTTCCGCTGAGCGCGATGCCCGGAGGGAGGGGCGCGGGGCCCAGCCCTCCAACGGCGTCGTGCCCTTGCTGAGCGCCCGTCCGGGGGCCGCTCTTCGGGGCCCCGCGGCGATCGGAAGCTACCCTTCGCTCGGGCGTATCCCCCTACAGGGGGGATTTGGGCGAAAAATCAAAAATACTCAGAAAAAAACTCCCAAGTGCTAAAACATAGTCAACAAAAATCGTCCCCCGACTATTTTTTGATTATTTTTGAATGTCCCTCCAGTAGAGGGACTGGCCCGACTTCAAGCTACCCGCGACGGAGCCCGTCCTGGAGATGCGGATCGAGAGCTATCGGAGCCCGCGGACTGAAAGAGTCGGGACGTCGGCGATCTGGGGAGCTGTGAACGCCCAGGCTACCAAGCAAGCCGATGTTCACCACTGCCAGCCTCCCCAGGACCACTGAGAAAAACAACGGGGCTGGTAGATTGCAATGCTTCCCAGTGCACCGTCAGTATCATGTTGGTAACCACCAAGCACCAAGTAGACATAACGAACTGGACCATGACCAAAGACAGCGGAGTACCCGCAACTGAATAAGGGGTTGTGGGATTATAAAGATGTCATTGTGGGGTAGAAGCAGACAGAGTTCATGGTAATGCATTGCTGGAGCGTCCAAAGCTGTCAGTATAATTCCCTCTGAAACCTGACGTATCAGCTGGCGCAGCCACGCACAGTGTACAAGAAGGACAGTAAGACGCAAGATGACATGTGCATCATCGCAGAACTCTGATCATGCCAACGGAACGGACACTTTAGCCGTACAAGCGGTGGTTCGACTCAGCTGCATGCAGCTGGACCTCTCAGGAGCTTATGGGGGGGGCGTCACCACTACGCAGCTGGCAGCGCCCTGGGGGAGAAAAACTAGTTCTGGCGAGCGTAACACGTCATCCCGCTGGATCCCTTAGGAACTCACAGAAGCGGCGAAAGTTGCGCAGCTGGTATCGCGCAGGGAAGCGGTCTAGCTGGACTCATGAGGAGGCGGGGCATATTCTAAGAAACCTGGAGCACACATGGCTGTATCCGTGTCCACAGCTAGCGGGGACCCAAAACTAGATGCACTTGCGGACGGCCAGTGTTCCTTGTGTACCCACCAGTCTGTCACATCAGTGTTTCGTAGCACGCATCATCATGACGATCTTCGTGCGATGACGCACGACTGGGTGCGCATGTGGACGGCCAGCTTTCCATGTGTTCCGATCGGTCTGCCACACAAGCGTTTCATGGCAGTCATCATCATAAAGATGCGCCTGCGACAACGCACGACTGGATGCGCATGTGGGCACCTGGCGTTCCATGTGTATTCACCGGTCTGATGCACCAGCGCTTCATGACACTCACCATCACGATGATGCTTCTGCGACGGACATCATGCAAGCGCTTCCTCTGGGGCACATAAGTCGCCAGCGTCCGTTGACACCTTTGCCTTGGGCTGAGGCCAAGCGGGTCGCGCACGCGTGCGCCGGGAGCCCCGCTGCACCCCCCAGGAGCTCGCGAAGCTGGCGACGATTGCACAGTTCTCGGCGCCCTGGGAAGAGAGAGATGATTCGGGCCCACGCCCCACTCCGTTGGACCTCCCAGGCGGCAACGACAGTGACGACAACTGCGCACCTGGCAGCACCCAGAGGGGTCAGTTTCGAGTCCGCGTGTGACGTCAGTCTAGACCTCTTCGCAGCCCAAGAAAGAGGCGAACTTTGCGAAGGTTGCAGCGCACATGGAGGGGAAAGGTCAATATTGGGCCCGCGCAAACCTTGACCCCGCTGGAGCCCCCAGGAGCTCACTGGAAGAGGCGACAGCTGCGCAGTTGCCAGCGCCCATGGAAGGGGCGATCTGGCTCGGGCCCCCGTAAAAAGCCACTCCGCTGAACCTCCCAGGCGACAACGAAAGTGACGACCATTGCGCACCTGACAACACCCAGGGAGGGGGCTCCATTTTGGGTCCGCGTGTGACGTCACCCTGGACCTCCTCGAACCTCAGACAGCGGCGACGGTGGCGCAGTTGGCAGCACCCTGGCAGCAGCCCAGCAGCTCACAAAAGGTGGCGACCGTTGCGCAGCTGGCAGCGCCCAGGGAAGGGAGGCACCTTCTGAAATTGCAACTGAAAGGTCGCCCCACTGGGCGTACCAGGAAGTCACGCATAAGGCGACAGCTGGGTAGTTGCCAAAGCACATGGAAGAAAGGTTGGTTTGCGTCCGCGTAAGACGTCACCCCACTTGGCTGCCAAGATCAAACGAAAGCGGCGACATGCACACTTTTGGTCACGTCCAGGGTTGCGGTCTAGTTTAGGTCCGTGTACGGCATCGCTACCCTGGACCTGCCACGAGCCCACGAAAAGTGAGCACGAAGAGGGTCGGAAGGAGGAGGAGTGAACAAGCAGCAGCGTTCGGTTCAACATCAGAATGTCAACCACAACAATGTTGGTAACAAGTGTAAATGTTAGATACCTGTATGACCACCCTGCGGGTGATAAGGAGGTTGGGGGGGGAGGGGGGCCAGCAATGGGCAACAGTGGTGATTGTTGCGTTGCCGCTCGCTCTTGGGAGCCTCGATCCCACTCGATCGATCACACTATCGATCTCACTCAATCGATCTCACTATCGATCCCACTCAATCGATCTCACTATCGATCTTTCTATCGATCTCACAAGCGATGTCGTTATCGGTCTCACGATCGATCTCACCATCGATCTCACTATCGATCTCTCTATCGATCTCACAAGCGATGCCATTACCGGTCTCACGATCGATGGGACCATCGATCCCACTATCGATCTCGCTCGATCGATCTCACTACCGATCTCACTCGATCGATTTCACTGTCGATCTCACTCTGGATCTCACTATCGACCCAACTAACGATCTCCCTATCGATATCACTCGATCTCAAATCGATATCACTATTCATCTCACTATCGATCTCACTATCGATCTCACGCTCGATCTCACTATCGGTCTCACGATCGATCTCACTATCGATCTCACAATCGATTTCGTCATCGGTCTCACTATCGTTTTCGCACCAGCGGGACACCGGGACACCGGCGGGACACCGGCGCGGGACACCGCGCGCCACCGCTTGCTGGAGGGAGAATCATTTGGTCCGGCCGGGGCCCAGCCACAAGCGGGACACCGGCGGGACACCGCGCGCCACCGCTTGTCGGAGGGAGAATCATTTGGTCCGGCCGCGCCTCAGCCACAGGAGACTTTCCTCTCGCCCGCCCACGCAGCTTCGCCTCGCCCGCACGCGCGGCCCGCACGAACACGAAACCGAAACCGATTTCCCGGTGGGGGGCTCTCCGTTCCACTTCGATCTCACCCCCAAACCTCCGATTGTGAGGGGGCGGGCTGGGGCGGGACGGACGAGCGATGATGCGAGAGAAGCACCGCACCCACCACAGAAAGACTGGGAATGAAGAAAATCGCTAAAAACGCCGAGTGCGAAAAGCGTTTCCGCAACGATGCCCCCTGCTTTTGTCGTATGAGTGCGAACCGTGGCGTGCGATTGCGAGCTGTTTCGATCTCCACCTTGTGTTCTGGGCGCACCCTGTCGCATTGACTGAAGACGGTGGGATGGCATGAACAAGTTTACGTCGGCGGCCAGGCAGAGTAACTGCGCTGGCGGAGGGCTACCTAAACGGGGCTACCGTCGTAGCGACTTGTACCACCATGCAGGAAAAGGCGACAAACCAGGGGAACGGCCGAAATATGGGTATGGAATGGCACGAACATTAGCATGGCGATGGCCCTGATCCGATGCAACTGCGTGCAGCGCAGGGCGTATCCCTCTCTTCGTATATGTTGCGCGCCGCGCGACAGTGCGGGATTGGGGGGGCTGCAGGGCAAGCGCCCACAAGAGTGCTGATCCCCCTGTGGGGCACGATGCGCGTGAAGACTCTGCACTCTCGTCCCTACTCCCCTTTCTCTCCCCCCTCTCTTCCTCCCAATTTCTCTTCCCGCCTCCTCTCTCTCTCGTCCCTCCTCCCCTTTCTCTCCCCCTCTCCCCACTTCCTCCTCTCCTCGCCTGCCCGTTACCTGGCTTGCCCCCGCCACTGTTGGAACATTCTTCACGGTGAAGAATGTTACAACGTTGGCAAGGGGGTCTGCGAACGCGCCAAGTGAGGCCGTCGGTGGAGCTCCCGCGGTGCACGATCCGCGTGAAGAACGCGCCGAAATTGGCGGAATGACGGATGCGAGCCCTCCCGCTGAAACCGTAAGACGGTCCGTGTGAAGGGGCGTGCCGGAACGGGCTCCTTGCGGGACACGGACCGCGTGAAGGGCGCGCCGAAGTGGACGAGGGCAGGAAGGGGGCCAGGAGGGAGAGGAGGAGGGTGAGGAGTGGAGTGGATTACGCCAGAAAGCGACGATCAGGCGACCGCCCCCCCAGCCGCCCCCGCGAGTCAGGCGGGGGCGAATCGGCTCCTTCAGCGAGGAGGCGAAAACGAGGCCGTGCACGAACAGGTCGTAGAGCACGGCGTCGCACACAAAATACTGGGGCGCCCCGCGCGCCCCCAACCGCCCCTAGGCGCTCTCCCGAACGGTGGGGGTGCCCCTTCCGAAGATGCGCACGCACCCTGCTCCTTTAGGAGGCTTCAACCAAAATGCTGGCTGCAGCGGGCGCCGCGAAGACGAACTCCACGACGGACCACCTGCCCGGTCGTGCGCCCGCGGGCTAGCGGCCTCGACCGGGCTGAACCACGACGGTCACCATCCCTCCTCCTCACGGCGGCGGCGGCTCCTCGAACCTGACTCTCGCGAGCTGGAAGCCCTCGGAAAGGAGCCTGCGGAAACCGTCTCCGCCTCGATGGCCGCCAACTCGGCGAGGGCGGCGGCGAGGCTCCTCCTGGCCTCGGCGGTCCGCTCCGAGGCCGCGCCCTTGCGCCCGTGGACCGCCAGCACCACCGCCGACACGGCAGCCTCGGGGTCCAAGGGCGGCTTGGACGCGGTGCGGGGCATCGCGGCGTCGGGCTCGGCGTCGAGCGCGACAGCGCCACCAGTGCCACCTCGGCCATCAACGCCCGCATCATCATCGCCGCCGCCGCGAGGGTCTGCAGCAGCCGAGGCGCCGAGCTCCTCGATCGTGGTGCCGAGGGCGGCGACGTCCGCACCCGCCGCCGCGGGGCAGGGCGGCGCCGGCGCGGCCTCGAGGTGGACCACCCGCACCCTCCAGTCCGCGAGCGCGGCGCCGAGGTCGTCCACGGGGTCCTGGAGGCCCCCTGGCTCAGGCTGCACACCACCTCCACCTCTCTCGTCTCCAGGCTCTCCTGCGGCGCCTGCTGGGGGGTGGGCGCCCTGCAGCGCCGTGCGAAGCGCCTGGGCCAGGCCGCTGAGGCGCTGGCCGCGGCGGGCGCCGATGGCGGCGAACGCCGCCAGCAAATGCTCCGCCGCCCGCCCGTCCGCGCGGCGGTACTGGGCGCGGCGCTCGGCGGCGGAGCGGTTGGGCCGTTGCGGCCGGGGCGCTCGGCGGCCGCCATCCCGCGGCGCACGAGGGGGGCGAGGCGGGAGAGAGGGACGCGGGGCGAGGGGCCCCCTGGCGCTGGCGGGCGCGCGCGGCCCCAAAGGGCCTCGGGCCGAGCTGGAGCTAGGAGGAGGAGGAGGAGGAGGAGGAGGAGGAGGAGGAGGAGGAGGAGGAGGAGGAGGAGGAGGAGGAGGATTAGGACGGGGAGGTGGACGAGAAGGAGGTGAGGAAGGAGGGCGGGAAACGTGCGGCGTGGCGGAGATAAACAAACACCCAGCAACACAGGAGGCCTTGGAACAAACAAAACACACAGCGCGCACAATCGATATCGTGGTGGACCCTCTGGCAGGCGCTCTTGAACGGAAAGGCGCAGCATAGAGAAAATGGCACATCCTTTGGACTCGGACGGCGACTCCAGAAGCCGCTCGTCGGCGTCGGAGGCTCTCCTCTTGCACCGGCCTCTCCACGCGCAACACCATGATGCGAGCGTTCCATGCAGACCTCGTCGGGGCGAGCCGCCCAGCGCGAAGGCGCGGATCCCAGAGTGCCTGATGCACATGGGGGGAAGCGACGGAAGTAAGCCACTTCCTTGGAAGCATAGGAGATAAAGGGACGAGTGGAGATGCATGATCGAGGTCAGGGTGAGGAGAAGGGAAACGAGTGTAATCGAAGAGTAGGGAGGAGGACGGCAAACTGCGAGGCTCACTTGCGGGAGACTGAGAGATGCAGTGGGAAAGAAGGGGAAACAGACAGAGTGTGGGGAGAGAAAAGAAGAGCAATGGCAGGAGTACCCAAACGAGGGTACCCTGGCAAGGTTCCGGCAAGGTCTCCCCAAGGATGCCAGAACTCCCCGTGGCGGTCTTCGGGGCCCCCATGGCGCCCCAGGAGCGCCCCGAGGGAACCAAACGGAACTCCAAGAAGACACTCCAACAAGGATCCATGGGACGCAGGCCCCAAAACGGCCACCCCAGAGATCCCCAGGAGGCTTCAAGATATCTCCAACACGACCCGAGACAGCCCCCAGAGCGGCCCTGGAGGCCAAAAACCAAAGACAATCCTCTAACGTTTAAAAGATGTTGCCGTTTGTGCCTTTTCCACTTCCGGACCGCTCAAGACGGCCCAGAAGACCCAAGAGGCTCCTACGATCGCCACAAGTCAGCCCAAGAGGCTAGCTGGACGGCCCCAGCACAGCCGAACAAAACCTCAGGACGATCCAAAAGGGCCTCCCAAGAGGGCTCCGAGGCTCCCAAGATGGTGAATCCGAAGTGACATGTCGAACCCCTTCCCGAAAAATTGCCCCTGAGACCGCCAGCAGGCCCCCGAGAGGCCCCCGAGAGACCCCCCAGAGGCGCAAAAGACACCCCCACGAGGCGGCAAGAGGCTCCCAAGAGGCCCCTGGGGTTCCCAAAATACCGCCAATAGAACGCCGAGAGGCCTCCTGAGAGACCCCAAGAAGGCTCCCAAAGAAGTGTCTTGTCCACGAACCAGTTCGGCCCCAAGAATGCCCAAAGAATCCACCTAAAAGCCTCATCTCCATCCTCGCATCTTCTTCCTCCTCCTTCTCCTCCTCCTCCTCCTCCTCCTCCCTATCGCTCGCCTCGAGCACACCAACATATAGCACCAATTGGAAGAGCTCCAAAGAAATTCACGCATGGAGGGCGGTCACTTTTAAAATGTAGCTCTCGCCCTAGCGCCGCACACATTCGTTGTATAACATTTGCACGAGTGTCACGGGTGGAGGCAGGGTCGTTTTGAACATGCGGCTCTCGACTGAGCGCCGCGCACATTCGTTGCAAAAGTTCGCAAAAGCTTCACGGATGGAGGGCGGGTCGTATTCAAAATGTTGCTCTCGCCTTAGCGCCGCGCGCATTCCTTTTCTTAACGCGCAAGTTCCAAAGAGACTGGTGGTGGACGTCGCAGGAATAAAATTCCGGCACGACTTAGATTGCCAGGGCGCAGCTGTCACGTTGATTCGCAGCGTTGCAGTCCCCGGAATGGCGTCCTGGCGTGTTTCAGGACCGTTTGGGCGCAAGAGTAGTGCTCATTCGCGGCGCTGAAGTCCAAGGGATGGCACGGTTGAAGATTCCCAGACGGTTGTTTTTCAACGGGCACTTCCCGACATGAAGGCATGAGCGACCCACAAATCCTGAAAAGGAACTGGAACTGCGAGGCATGGAATGTTCGCAAAGCGTGCCAAGGGACGTGCCAGGGGACTCCGCAGGACATGCCGGGGGGGCGCGCCGGGGAACGTCCCGAGGGACGCGCCAGGGGACGTGCCAAGGGACGTGCCAGAGGACGCACCGCGGGACGTGCCAGGGGGGCGCGCCACGGAACGTGCCGGTGGACGTGCCAGGGGACGTGCCAAGGGACGCGCCGCGCGACGTGCCCGAGGGACGCGCCAGCGGACGCGCCACGAAGCCTGCCAAGGAACATGCCAAGCGACGCGCCATGGGGACGCGCCAGGGGACGCGTTAGGGAACGTGTCACGGGACGCGCAAGGGGCCACGCAAGGAAACCATGTTAGCCTGGCGAAGGACCCAACCATGTTCAGTTGCGAGTAACGCAGTCATGAGCATCGTTTTCGGTGAAGCTCCCTGTGGGGCCACGAAGCATGTGAGGGGTGTGCCGGAGGAGCTTCCTGTGGGGTCACGAAACGTGTGGGGGGTGTGCTGACATGGGTGCGGGACCGCATGCGAACGGCGCCACTGGGACCTTCGGTGGAGCCCCCTTATGGGGGCCACGAAACGTGTGAAGGGTGTGCCGAAATGGGTGTGGGACCGCATGCGAACTGCGTCACTGGGACCTTCGGTAGAGCTCCCCATGGGGCCACGCAACGTGTGAAGGGTGTGCCGAAATGGGTGCGGGACCGCAATCGAACTGCGCCACTGGGACCTTCGGTGGAGCTCCCTATGGGGCCACGAACCGCGTGAGGGGTGTGCCGAAATGGGTGCGGGACCGCTTGCGAACTGCACCACTGGGACCTTCGGTGGAGCTCCCCATGGAGCCACGAAATGTGTGAGGGGTGCGCCGAAATGGTGAATTATGATGCAGGAGGAGGAGGAGGAGGAGGAGGAGGAGGAGGAGGAGGAGGAGGAGGAGGAGGAGGAGGAGGAAAAAGAAGCAGGAGGACCCAACACCACAAGATGGTTAGGAACAACTGAAAATTAGCCCCTGGGGCCTCATGGAGCCTCTTGGGGCCTCCTGGGGCCTCCTGGAGTCTCCTGGAACCTCCTGGGGCCTCCTGGGGCTCCCGGGGCCTCCTGGAGCTTCCTAGTGGGCTGGACTCACGGGCGAAACGAACCCATGTAAAAACAAATGGTTCGGGCTCGGCTAAAGGAACCCATGCAAAAACACATGATTTGAGCTCACGGGCGAATGGAACCTATGCAGAAACACATGGTGTTGCTCACGGGCCAAAGGAACCCATGTACAAACACATGGTTTGCGCTCACGGGCAAAAAAAACCGTGTAAAAACAAAGAGTTTGGGCCCATGGACGAAAGGAAACCATGCCGAACAACACATTGTTTTGGCTTACGGGCGGAAGACACCCATGTAAGAGCATGTGGCTTGAGCTCCGGGGAGAAAGGAACCCATGGAAAAGCCTATGATGTGTGCTCGCGAGCGAAACGAACCCATGACAAACAAAGCGCATGGTCTCAGCCCACGGAAGAAGCGGACCCATATAGAAAAGCACATGGCTTGAGCTCACGGGCGAAAATAACCCATGTGACCACGCATGGGTTGCGCTCACGCGCGACAAGAACCCCTGTGGAAACACAGTGTTTGAGCTTGCGGAAGGCACGAACCCATCTAACAACATATTGGCTCGGCCCACGGGCAAACATAACCCATGTAAACAAACAAGACATGGTTTGAACTCAGAAGCGACGGGAGCCCGTGTAAAAAATTAGCCTGGCGAAGAACCCAACCATATGCAGTTGTCAGTACCGCAGCTGCGAGTTTCATCTTCAATGGAACTCCCCATAGGACTACGGAACGTGTGAGGGGTGTGCCGAGATGGGTGCCACTGGGGCATTCGGCGAAGCTCCCTATGGGGACATGAAACACGCGCGGGGCGTGCCGACATGGGTGGCGGAAACGCATGTGCGGGCCGCCACTGGGGCCTCCAGTGGAGCTCCCTATGGGTCCCCGAAACATGATGCTGCTGCGGGGGGGGGGCCGGGATGGGTGGCGGAGACGCATGTAAGCGCCGCTACTGGGGCCTTCGGTGGAGCTCCCTATGGGGCCACGAAGCGCGTGAGGGGTGTACTGGGATGTGTGGCGGGGACGCATGTGAGCGCCGCCACTGGGGCCTTCGGTGCAGCTCCCTATGGGGCCACGAAACGTGTGAGGGGTGTGCCGAATTGGGTGCGGGTGGTGACGCATGCGGGCGGTGCCACTGGGGCCTTCGGTGGAGCTCCCTATGGGGCCACGAAACCTGTTGTTGTGAGGGGCGTGCCGGGATGGGTGGCGGGGACGCATGTGAGCGCGGCCGCTGGGGCCTTCGGTGGAGCTCCCTATGGGGCCACGAAACGTGTGAGGGGTGTGCCGAATTGGGTGGGTGTGGGTGACGCATGTGAGCGCCGCCACTGGGGCCTCCGGTGGATGATGGGGCCACGAAACCTGTCAGGGATGTGCCGAAATGGGTGTGCGGGACGCATGCGCATGTGAGCGCCGCCACTGGGGCCTTCGGTGGAGCTCCCTATGGGGCCACGAAACGTGTGAGGGGTGTGCCGAATTGGGTGTGCGTGACGCATGCGGGCGGCAGCACTGGGGCCTTCGGTGGGCTCCCTATGGGGCCACGAAACGTGTGAGGGGTGTGCCGAATTGGGTGTGCGGGACGCATGCGGGCGGCAGCACTGGGGCCTTCGGTGGGGCTCCCTATGGGGCCACGAAACGTGTGAGGGGTGTGCCGAATTGGGTGTGCGGGACGCATGCGGGCGGCAGCACTGGGGCCTTCGGTGGGGCTCCCTATGGGGCCACGAAACGTGTGAGGGGTGTGCCGAATTGGGTGTGCGGGACGCATGCGGGCGGCAGCACTGGGGCCTTCGGTGGGGCTCCCTATGGGGCCACGAAACGTGTGAGGGGTGTGCCGAATGCGGGCGGCAGCACTGGGCCTTCGGTGGGGCTCCACTAGGGGCCACGAATGTGTGAGGGGTGTGCCGAATTGGGTGTGCGGGACGCATGCGGGCGGCAGCACTGGGGCCTTCGGTGGGGCTCCCTATGGGGCCACGAAACGTGTGAGGGGTGTGCCGAATTGGGTGTGCGGGACGCATGCGGGCGGCAGCACTGGGGCCTTCGGTGGGGCTCCCTATGGGGCCACGAAACGTGTGAGGGGTGTGCCGAATTGGGTGTGCGGGACGCATGCGGGCGGCAGCACTGGGGCCTTCGGTGGGGCTCCCTATGGGGCCACGAAACGTGTGAGGGGTGTGCCGAATTGGGTGTGCGGGACGCATGCGGGCGGCAGCACTGGGGCC